GGGTGGGTGCCCGGCTTCCGTGGGAGCCAGCCTGGCAGGGGGGCCTCGCGGCCTCGGGACCGGGAAGAGGCGAGCAGTCTTCAGAGGAAACTCAAGTTTTCTCATTTCCCGCTTTTGGTCAAAAGTCTTCCTTTTTGAAAGCATTGTTGATCCAAATCCAAGTATCGAGGTGCGCCCCAGAAACGCTGCTTCCCAAACAGCCGTGCCTGGTCTTGCGGGGAAGGAGGACGCTTCCCGCCAAGGAACCTGGCGCTCAAAAGCTGAACCGAGGTCACAGCCGCGGAGCCAGACCTCAGTCGCTGCGTGCTTTTCATCACTGCTCTTGCCTGTTGAATCGTCTCTAGTCTTTGGAGTGCCATGATTTTTGTTTTCTGAGAAGTAACAAACATCCAGGGGCCAACGTGGGGCACAAGCCTTTCATTTCAGCACTTTGGGAGGCCGAGGCGGGAGGATTGCTTGAGCCCAGGAGTTGGAGACCGGTCTGGGCAACATGGCGAAACACTTTCTCTACCAAAAAAATACAAAAAAGTTAGCTGGGTATGGTGGCACCCGCTGTGGGAGGATTGCTTGAGCCGAGGAGGTAGAGGTTACAGTGAGCCATAATTAGGCCACTGCACTCCATTCTGGGCAACAGTGTGAGATCCTGTCTCAAAAAAAAATAAAAATAAAACAGCCAGAGATAAATGGCATAACATGAATAATTTCAGTAGTAGAACTGTAATACTGGCCAGGCAGTGGCTCTTGTCTGTAATCCCAGCATTTGGGGAGGCCAAGGCAGGAGGGTCACTTGAGCCTGATACTTCAAGACCAGCCTGGGCAACACAGAAAGACCCCATCTCTATTAAAACAAAAATGTTACCAAGTACAGTGCACATAAGGATTACAATGAAAAAGAGAATGTGTGTGCCAGAATGGAAAAAGTAACCTATTCTAGGGAGTCAACCAAAAGTATTATGAAGAAAATTAAATGGAGAATTCTTTAGAATAGTGTAGCCAAGTGGCTTCTAATTTTTCCCATATGAGTTTCTGCGTCATGGAAAGGGTATATGCACAAGAGGTATTTGCCACCATACATACACTTGCTTGCTCAGCTAATAATCGAAAGCAGTGCAATTGTCCAGTGCAGCCTCAGCCAGTGAGTCAGTAGCTTTTTGTTGAGCTGTGATGGAAGCAGCAGTTTCATCAACAATATTTCCTGATAGACCAGATATACACACAGTCATCCCAAGTAAAAGCAAACATACTGACTCTGGGTCCACTGGAATACTAAAGAGAGCACTGCATGAGTCAGTCATAGTCTCTCACTTCCAGATGTCAAAAGAGGATGGGGCTTTGGTACTACCAGGTGTCTGGGGATCACAGTGTTGAATGACAGTTCTCAAATCTTGTACAAAATACCAGCTCTTCCCATTCGGCTTCCTTACAGGAAGGACTGGAGTATTACATGCTGGTGCAAGGAATAATTAGCCCCCCTTTTAATAGTCTTTTGTTATGGATCTTATTCCTTTAGTTGCTTCAGGCCTTAGCAGATACTGTCTGATATTGTTAAAGGATCGATCAGGTTTACTTCCACTTTAATGAAAGTGGCTGAATATATTTTTGATACCTTGGCTAAAGTCCTTATTCGAGAAAGGGAGTCTTTGGAATTGACCAGGAAGGTGGAGCACCAAAGCTCTACCCATCAGCTCTCACACTTTGGCTTGTTGGGTGAATCTCACTGTCCTCTGGGAATTATGTACTTGTTTTCCCCCCACCCAAGGCCATCTCCCATCTGG